CTGGCCAGATTCCCTTCATGGGGTTTAAAAGGCCAGAAATGTTGAACAGTATCAAACCAAAGCAAATCACAAATTATATCTCCAGAGCTCTCTCTCCTGGGTTCTTGTCCACAAGCCCCACACTCTGTTCCTTGTCAAGGCTCTGCACAGCACTGCTGTGGTTCAGGCTTGCTAGGACATCTGCTTACTGTACGTTGGACACTCTGGGCAGAAGGTGACCAAAGCAAGAAACCCCAGTCATGGCAGATCACTGCTGCCAGCAACAGGTGTGAGCCAGGAGAATCACCAGCAACAGCAGTGACAGGTTATTTTCCAAAGGGGAATGAGGGACACTGAGCCCATGTGACTCAGAAAGTAGTGCAGACTTCCTCTAAGGATCAATTCCACCCATCCTTCTCTACTCACAGATCACCTGATGATATGCGTGTATTGTCTTTTAAGATAACCCTCATCATTGTTATTGCTGTGTATAATTTATGTAGTGCCATAGATGTACATGAGTTACACCTGGCAAGAGACATAAAAAGCAGTAAGAAGAGGTGATTGACATACATTAGGAGCAAGAGAAAGAGGAAGGAAAGTGTAGGTCCTCTACTTAGCAGGGAAGGAGAGATAACAACTGAGGACATCAGGAAAGCTGAGGTGCTTAATGTCTATTTTGCTTCAGTCTTCACTAAAAAGATTAATGACCAGATACTCAACACAAATTAATATTAACAATTGGGGAAGGCATGCAAGCCAAAACAGGGAAGAACAGGTTAAAGAATATTTCGGTAAGTTAGATGTATACAAGTCAGCAGGGCTTGATGAAATTCATCCTAGGATACTTGGGGAACTAGCTGAAGCAATCTCAGAACCATTAGCAATTATCTTTGAGAACTCCTGAAGATGGGAGAAAGCTCTGAAGACTGGAAAAGGGCAAACATAGTACCTATCTTTAAAAAGGGGAACAAGGAAGACCTGGGAAATTATAGACCAGTGAGCCTAATTTCAATACCTGGAAAGATAGTAATTATTAAATAATCAATTTGTAAGCACCTGGAGGATAATAGGGTTATACGGAATAGACAGCATGAGTTTGTCAAGAACAAATCATGCCAAACCAGCCTTATTTCCTTCTTTGATAGGATTACTGACCTAGTGGAAAGGGGGGAAGCAGTAGATGTGATAGACCTTGATTTTAGTAAGGCTTTTGACACAGTTCTGCATGACATTCTCATAAGCAAACTAGGGAAATGTGGTCTAAATCAAATTTTTATAAGGTGGGTGCACAACCGGTGGAAAGACCATACTCAAAGAGTAGTTATCAATGGCTTGCTGTCAAATTACAGGACTCCATTAGATAAGCCCTCCCAGAGGTCTGTCCTGGGTCTGGTATTATTCAATATTTTCATTAATGACTTGGATAACAGAGTAGAGAGTCTGTTTATGAAATCTGCAGATGACACCAAGCTGGGAGGGGTTGCAAGCACTTTGGAGGACAGGTTTAAAATTCAAAATGACCTTGACAATTGGAGAATTGGTCTAAATTCAACAAGATGAAATTCAATAACGACAAGTGCAAAGTACTTCACTTAGGAAGGAAAAATCAAATGCACAGCTACAAAATGGGGAATAACTGGCTAGGCAGAAATACTGCTGAAAAGGATCTTGGGGTTACAGTGGACCACAAACTGAATATGCAGAATGCAGCTACAAAAAAGGCTAATATGATTCTGGGGGTGTAATAACAGGACTATTGTTTGTAAGACACAGGAGGGAATTGTCCCACTCTACTCAGAATTGGTGAGGGCTCAGCTGGAGGACCGTGTCCAGTTCTGGTTACCACAATTTAGGAAAGATGTGGACTAACTGGAAAGAGCCCAGAGGAGAGCAACAAAAATGATCAAAGGTTTAGAAAACCTGACCTGTCAAGAAAGGCTAAGACTAAACAGGCCCTGTTTTTTAAGAAAAAACGACTGAGGGGGAACCTGATAACAGTCTTCCAATATGTTAAGGGCTGTTATAAGAGGTGATCAACTGTTCTTCTTGTCCACTGAAGGTAGGACAAGAAGTCATGGGCTTAATCTGCAGCAAGGGAGATCTAGGTTAGATATTAGGAAAAAATTTCTAACTGTCAGGGTCGTTAAGCTCTGGAATAGGCTTCCAAGGGTGGTCATGGAATCCTCATCATTGGCAGATTTTAAAAACAAGTTGGACAAACAGCTGTCAGGCATGGTCTTGGTTTACTTGGCCCTGCCACAGTGCAGGGGGCTGGACCTGATGACTTCTTGAGGTCCCTTCCAGCTCTACATTGCTATGATTCTATGAGGCTTTACAGGTAATTAGGACAGTGTCCATCCCCCAAGGGCACCATCATTTTACATTCCTTGATTTGGGGACTATGACCCAAGAATCTCTTACTGCCAGCTGTCAAGGGGCTTACAGGAATCTCCTGATTCTGGTATGTACACTTGGGTTCGCCAAAGAATGTCGCATGAGTTCTCAAACGAGAGCCAGTGTCACGCTGGTCATTAGTATCGTGAAATGTATGTACAGATACTGTGTATGGAGTTATGTGTCTAGACACTGAAAATAAGACCTTAAAGTCTGTATCATCTATTGTTTACATGTCAATTGAGCACTCTCTCCTTCACGAGTCACCTACCACGAGTCTGAGCTGAAAGCAAATGAAGGACTGAGAGGACATCAGAGGGAAAACAAAATCTAACAGGAAGAGTTAAGGGGAGTGAACCCTATCCGGAGGTTTACATCACAAGTTCAGGCTTGGCTGAAACCACTGGAGAGAACTTTGGGTGCGAGAAACTTCTTTAGACAAGAGAGTGACTTGTTTGTTAAGTTTAGTCTCTAGAAAGCGTGTTATGATTTTGTATTATATGTAACCACTGGTTTCCAATATTCAGACCCACTATTATTTGAATCTCTACTCTTTGACAGGAAACCCGTTCTTGTTTTCACTGGAAATATATCTCAGTGCTGTGGTGTTGAACAAAGTGCTGGGCAAGAGGTGAATCTGACAAGCTGGTGTGTACTGTTCCTTTGGCAACAGCAGGCCTGGTGATTCTGTGAGTGTCCCATGGAGAAGGGGCTGGACACTGCAGGGGAGGCTCTGAGGACTCAGCTGTAGGGATGTACCTATTGCTTCCTGTCCAGAGAGAGCAAAGCTTGCAGAGGCCTGGAAGGCAGTGCTTGTGCCAGAGGCTGGTGTTTTCAGGGAGCTGACCCACAGCAAGTGAAGACAAGATTGCTTCACACTAAGGGCGGGTAGTGGTGAGGTAACTCCCAAGCCTGGGTACCCCTGGGAGTGTCACACGGGCATCCTGCTGTGGCAGGTTCTTGCCTCTTTGTGTCCAAGAGTTATTTCACCTTCTGCCACTGTCCTCATGTTTGCTGTAACTGCTCCTTTACTGTAGCTACCGACTGTTAGTGCCTAAGGGTGACTTTCCCCATGTAGTGGAGTAGGTAAATGGCTCTCGTTCTTGTTTCCAAGGTGTTATTCGTTTATCCCTCGCATTACAAGCAACTCACACACAAGCCTCGTGCTCCTTGGCCCAGGAACTGTCGTTTTGTTACACGTCTGTACCACACCTAGCCCTGATCCCTGGGTGGGGCTCAGAGCGTCTATAATGCAAATACCGAATAAGAGTTGTCCCTGATGTTAGCACGTTCCTTGCTCTTAAGACCATATTTTGACACCTGCTGCTATTTATATTTCAGACTGGACTTGTCCACATTCATGCCCACTTGCAACCCATTTCTGCTCTCGTTTACACTGGTCCGGAATAACCCCAGTGCAGTCAATGGATTTACACCCAATGTAACGGAAAACAGAATTTGACTCTATGGGCCAGATCCTCAGTCCTGTGAAGGTCCCTTTTAATACGTGGTCAGAGTGGCACAAAAGGACTTAACACCTCCCTGGGTCAGCAGCAGGGGATTCCCTCCAGCCTGGCTCTATGCTAGTCCCTCCGGGGATGCTCTCCCAGTTCAGGGAGGGCGTATCAGGAACAGGAGGGGGCATTCTGGGGGCAGGGCTGGATAATACTGAGCTCCAGTGATCCTCGCCATAGAACGGCCCCGATGGAGTTTTATCCCCACGGCAATAAAAAACCCACGGCACCGAGTCTCAGAGCCTGGGTCCGCTGAACTAGGCTCATGGGACTATAAAATTGCAGTGTAGACGTTCAGGTTCGGGGGAGAGCCCAGGCTCTGAGATCCTCCCCCCTCACGGAGTCTCTGAGCCCAGGCTCCAGACCAAGCCCAAATGTCTACACTGCAATTTTATACCACCACGGCCCGAGATCTGCAAGCCTGAATCAGCTGACCCAGGCCAGGTCTTTTATTGCAGTGTAGATGTACTCTCAGGGGCTATTACAAGCCTGCAGAAATTAGAGCAGCCCTCGGGTGTCTGTATGTGCGTGTATATATATTGGATGAAATCCTCTCCCCATAGCACTCAATGGGAGTTTGGCCAGGATTCACCCACAGTATATATACACAGAGGCACCAACTTTGTAACGTGCCAGGGGGTGCTTGACCCCCGCTCTGCCCCAGGCCCTGCCCCCACTCCACCCCTTCCCCCAAGGCCCACCCCCCACCCGCCTCTTCCCACCACTTCCCACCCCATTCCACCCCTCCCCTGAGCACGCCCCATTCTCGCTCCTCCTCCTCCCTCCCAATGCATCCTGCACGCTGCAGACCTGCTGATTGCAGTGGGTGGGAGGCGCTGGGAGGGAGCGGGAGGTGCTGATCGGCTGGGCCCACTAGCGGGTGGGAGGTGCTGTGGGGAGGGGGGAGGAGCCAATATGGGGGCTGCTGGTGGGTGCTCGGCACCCACTCTTTTTTTTTCTGCATGGGTGCTCCAGCCCCGGAGCACCCACGGAATTGGTGCCTATATATATACACATCAGTTAAACTTCCTCTCTTGTAAAAGGAGGACATGGTACAGGGTATGAACACCGCCTGCTTTTTAACCATGCAATGGAGCTTTGGCACTGTACCTTTTAATGCAATGGCCACCTCTACATACGACTGCAACATCGCCAGGGACACCGCTTCCCCTGCAACATACAAGAGACACTGTCAACAGCGGTACATCACACACGGCCTGTCTGTCGGCAGCGGGGTCACTCATGGTCGACAGGACGGGTTACTCTCCATATATCATGCGTCTTCAGTGTCTCAAGCTTTGCCATCACTATAGACAGCGATGGTAGCTTTCCAATTTAACGTGGTGAATTGTTCTGGCACTAGGCTTGCTATGCGGAAGGTAGAATTACACTGAATTTATATGTCACTGCAAAAGAAATACCTAAGTATTTGATATAGAGACCTTCAAAAACAAAAAGCTTGTCTCTGTTCAATATTAATCTATTACAGAAGTCGATTTAATTGTATTGTTCAGGGTGCGTGAGGACACCTGGAGCCTCCCACTGGCATCTTTTCAGCTATTATTTAAATAGAACGAAATAAATACAGGGACTGTAACAATATACTAAACTATACAAGAAATGTGCACCCACGGTGCTATGGATATGTGTATTGTACTCACAACTGGCGTAGAATAGCACCACCACGTGGGCGGTCTCCGTCAGAGCAGCAGTAAAAGTTTCTTCTGTCAGGGTACGGATGAGTTCCAAAGGGAGTTCTCGCTTCCTGTCTCTGTAAACCGCTTCCATCACCTGATCATCTTGAATTTCTACAGCAAATCAACGTACACATAAACAGGAGCACACAGATGCAGCAGGAACTCAGCATTTGCCAGGGTTTGAAAAGACCGAAGAAACCAAGCAATTTATTAGGATGCAGATATATATTCCAGTAGCACCTAGAGGCGTCAGTCAAGATCAGGGCCCCATTCCGCTAGATGCTGTACATACATACAACAAAGACAGTCCACGGCCCAAAGAGTTAAGAGTTAAGAGAGATGAGAGACAAGAAGTGGATAGGACAGGCAGATGGGGAATAAGACGGGAGACTGTTCTGATCAGTATAATAAGCAGCAGTCAGGGCTTGCTACTGATATACTCTTTAGCACGGTTCTGCTAGGAACTCTGAGCTTCACCGAAGTGACTGGAATGATGCAGAGTTATGCCAGCTGAGGATGTGACCCCTGGAGTACAGAACACTTTTATCTAGGAATCCCATTCACATGAGCAACTTTCTAGGAATGTATTTTAAAGGAAGACTTGCCCGGGCACGTGCTCTCTAATGCAAATGGAATTTGAGCACAGCACGCATGGGCACTCAAAAGAGGGCAGCCTAGATTTTCAAAAGTGGTTATGGATTTTGGGGGCCTGACCTGAAATACCTCAAAGAGGCCTGGTTTTCTGACAGCGATGAACACCCGCCCTCTGAAAAGCAGGTGTCTTGAGTTGGACCCTTAAAAATGAAGGCACCCAAGCCATTTTGGATCACATAGGCCAGTGCGACTACAGTACTTCTATATGTTTCAGAATGTCTCCAGCAAGGAGGCCCTCGTTGTATGAGTAACTCTCCTTAGTAATTAACGAGCACGTGACTAAGCGTGAAAAGGAGAATTCCAAACACCAGCGTTACCCTGGTCATTATTGTCACTTTCATCCTCATCTTCCTGGATCTGTTCGCCCTTTATCTTGTCTTCCACAAGGGCTATTATTTCATCAGTATCTTCCAAAACCAGGTATTTGATCGGCGCACCCTGGGGAAGAGAAAAACACCAGCTGGGACACAAGGGCATTTATGTGCACCTGTGCCCTGCAATGGCTGGAGTCACTGCAATATAAAGTGGAGTCAAGAGGGCACTCAACGACACCATGTGGCCACTTTTGGTTTGGTTTTGGACATGTCAATAGACTTCTAGGGCTGCTGCATGTGGCTCCAGACTCTCACAGTCGGCAGCTGGAACATCAGGCATCCAAGTCGAGACGACTCTGCAGTTCCTCCTCCTGCCCAGAGGGTCGCTGTGGTGTCTGCTGGGTGACTCTCCTCTCTTCCCCTCTCCTATTCCCTGGCACACTTACGGTCAGCACAGGGCAGCTGGCAAGAACTGGGAACAGCAGCAGCAAACTGGGGAGACAATGCTGCCGCCAGAACTACCCTCCCACACCCCTTCCCCAGTGGGAGCTGCCCTGCAGGGTTCAGTCTTGGGACCAGGCAGTTCCTACTGTCTCTGGGCAGTAGCTTTAAAACCCCATATTTATACTAATCTAGCGGGTTCCCAGCCCTGTGTTGTGCAGTTAATGTGGTCCAGCCACCGGCACTGGTGAAAAAAGGAGACAGGAGCAAGTGTCTTTTTCACGTGGATCTTACTCAAAACACACCTGGTTGTTGCCGCACCTCTCAGGAGAGAGCGTCTGGTTTCCCTCCAGCGACAGAACTGTGCGCGCTTGGCTGCCGGCCTCCACCAGGCGGCTACATTAGCGTCACGTGAGCCGCCAAAAGCTGCCTAGCGGCTAACGCCTGCTTTTGCAGATGTCTACAAATTATGCAACACGTCCACTCGAAACTCTGCTCTGCAAGTGGATGCCGTCGCCCATTTCTGACAAGCTACTGGGGCCACGAGCAGGTCCCCTGAGACGATCAAGAACGTTAATGAAATGCTGATGCGTTATTGGTCTTCCCAGAAAATAAGAATTCTAACTACCGTTTGCAGCGGAGTAACCATAATCCTGACACAGAGAAGGATTCTAGCACAGAAAGGTCTCCCATTCAGATAGGAGTCCAAGAACCTTTCCTTTCCCAAACTTAGATTCGTGCCTGGATTCCACCTTCTTCCTCTGTTACAAACCATGTTACGCAAAGCAGGCCTTTGCTTTATGAACATCTACGCTGCCGCTAAGAGGATATTTTGTGCAGCACCACGAAATACCCTTATTAATTTTTATTGATGTGTTTGTGCTGTACAAGACAAACAATAGACAGCCCCTGCCATCGCAACTTGCAATCAAAATAAGACTGAAATCTATTTGAGAGGAATTGGAACCATGACTACAATCTTGACAGCTTTCTGTTTTACATACCTAAGGCAATCAAACAGTCCCCACCTAGGGACCACCTGGGCACCTCACAATCTTGTAACCTACTTTTTCTTCAAAACACCCCTGTGAGGCAGGGCAGTCCTATTACCCCCATTTCACAGGTGGGGAGCTCAGGCGCCGAGCGGCTACGTGACTTGCCCATGGTCACAGAGGAAATCTGTGGCAGGGCAGGGACTTGCACCCAGAGCTGTAGGTTAGCGCCCTCACCATTGGATGATCCTTCTTCGGTGATGAACTTTTGAACAAATCTGGGCCCTGCTCCTGCCCCCTCGGTTCCAGCAGGGCTCCCACACTGGCAAGGGGTCCGACTGCAGGATCAGGCCCTTTCTGAGCAAGGAGCTGCTGTCGGCTTTTGGGATGAGCTCCCATTGATGGGTTTTACTTTTATACCAAAGGATTTCACTCCATACCGCTATTTGTTATCAGAAAATGTCTCTTACTGGACTGGATTCTACATGGTCTGCCACTACTTCCCAGCTGTCTAACTAGGTACTTATCTGGCCTTGATACCCAGAGCATCTGAGCAGCTCAGGATCATTACGGATTTTATCCTCACAACAGCCCTGAGAGATAGGGAAACATCCTCCCCATTGTACAGATGGGAGACTGAGGCAAAGGGCAGATTAAGGATCTGTCTACACTGTGATTAAACACCTGCAGCACCTAGTCTGAGAGCCTGGTCAGCCGACGCCGGCTCACAGGGCTCGGGCTGCAGGGTTAAAAATTGCAGTGTAGACATTTGGGCATCGGTGGAGACCCTCCCACCTCGCAGGGTCTCAGAGTTTGGGCTCCAGCCTGAGCCTGAACATTTACGCTGAAATTTTATAGCCCCAGAAGCTAAGCCCTGCCAGGCCGAGTCAGCTGACCCAGGCCAGAGGCAGGTCTTTTATTGCAGTACAGCCATACCCTTGGTTCCTGTGTGCTCTGTGTGTCACTCAAACCTGACCATCTCATCTCTGTCTGGGAACCTCTCACAAATTATCGTTCTGAGGAAAACAGGGCCTTGATGAAGAACAGAATCCTGGGTGTAACTGGATTGTGTTTACATGAAACCAGAAGAACAAACTGAATTGATATGTATTCTCATTCTGCCCTTGTTACCTTTCCATTCCCTTGTTTCTGTGGCTATGGGCTCATAAGGCTAGATGGCTGCTTTCACCTTCTGTATGTAAAAGACCTACCAGTGCAGGCAAAGGCTTATCCGGTGTAATTTCAATAAAATGGATTAAAAGGAAATTCATTACAGCAGAAATACAGTGAACAAGCTAGGGGCTTGTCCTATTGTCTCAGACAGCAGAGCTGGAACGTGTGTGTCACTCACCTGACAAGTGGAAAACCCAAGGATGAAGTTAGATTCAGGTCCAATCCTGCGTGCTTTGCACACACGTGAGAAATTCAGTGTATTCATTCCAATGTGCATTACCTGGCATTTATCAACACTGAACTTCATCCAGCATCCCACCTGCCTGATCCCTAGCATGGGCAGGTCCCTCCGAAGGTACTTTACCTCTCACGCCACCCCAACATAGCTTCCTTACTAGCCTTTTGGGAGGCACGTTGTCAAAGGCCTCTGTGAAGTTCAAATCCTTGGAGGCTTCGGGAGTCTTAAATGGTTCATAGGCCTCATGCTGGCTTTCTGCACAGGGTGAATTTCACCGTATCTGTTTTGCCCCCAAAACACACATGAACATAGGAATGGAAGGGCCCAGCTGAATTATCGACTCCAGTCCCAGCTATCACAGGTGACCTCGGCATACCATCCCGTTCATATATTTATCAAGCTCCATCTTAAAGCCAGGGACTCTGTAGTGGGGAGGCTGTTTACTGAGCACCCTCTCATGGCCAGGGGTCGCGCTGCAGGCACCCTGTCCTGTTTAGCCCCGTACACATGCAGGCTTTCAAGTGGGTAACACCCCCTGCTTGGGGCTGCTTTAATAACAAAAGCCGTTCTTAGCCATCCTCAGGCCAGAAGAAAGTCCATCACCACCCAGCAGGCCACACTTAGCTCTGGGGCTTCCTCTCACAGCCAGAGCTCTGCTTCTGCTCCAGGCTCCTCTCCCAGCCCATCCTCCCAGCTGTCCCTTGCTGGAGCTCAAACTTCTCACCCCAAGCTTCTAGGCCCAAATTCCATTGGGGTTTCCCCATACGATCCTCCTGCTCCCACGCGTTCCTCTGTTGCAGCTCTCTCGGTGTCTCAGAGTCTTCACCCTCTCCTGAACTCCCTCCACCCCCTTCACTGCATCCTCCTTATAAGGCCACCACCCTGGTCTCGCCCAGGTGTGACTCGGTCTATGACCAAGGTTGGCCCTTAAGGGGTGAGCCACCTTGTTACAGCCTTGTTATAACGCTTGCTTTCTCTTAACTCACAGAGGGCAGGTCTACGCTTACAATGCTGCAGCACTTCCATGAAGACGCTCCTACAGTGACGGGACAGCATCTCCCTTCGGCATAACGAATCCACCTCCGCGAGAGGCGGTAACTTTGTGGGCAGGAGGAGCTCTCCCATCGACATAATGCTGTCTGCACAGGGGTGTTAGCTCGGTAGAACCGTGTCGCTCAGGGTGGTGGATTTTTCACACCCCTGAGCGACATACTTATACCGATGTACATTTACAGTGTAGACCTGGCCAGTAGCTCAGTGTCAGCAGCCATGAGCAGCCCTACGCTAATGAACCCGTGCTGTTAAACGCATCGATAAGGGAAGAAATGTCAGTTTTACGCATCCAAGGCGATTTGTTAAAGAATAGCGAGGAAAACAATTGTGAAAAATAACACCTCGAACTTCTACCGGGAACTGCACTATGTTCAAGCAATCAGATTAAACGTGAACCAATCGTGTCGTGAATAAATACAACAACTAACCTCTTCTGCTGTCTTGAGGGCCACGTTAGACCGGAGAAGAACGTTCAGATCTACGGAATCCCTTTCAAAATACGAATCAGATGTTAAACGGTGTCATGGATAAAGTAACAGTCTGCCCTGGCTACTGCCTAACTCATGGGCACTGGTGGTTCTCTAGCAGCAAAGGGGTGCTGTCAGCATCTGACCCCCTAATCAGGGGGAGATACCAGGCTACCTTTGCCCACCCCCTCAGCTGTGCTGTGAGCTGCTCAGCCATAGCCTTGGATCTAGGTCAGTGTGTCTTGTATGTTTCTTTCAAAGCAAAGCAGAGGAGCGTGTGAATTCTCGCAGTGCTGTTTTGAAGGGCACGGGTTTCTTACGTGGTATTGGCCTGACTCTGCTCCCACTGAAGTCAGAGGGAGTTTTACCATTGGCTGCAGGGAGAGCAGAGTTAGCCTAGCGGCTACTGCGGCTGCCAGCAGCGCCGGAGGTAATTCCAGCAGGCATCAGAGAGCAACCTGATGGATGACCAAAGCCAAACCCAGAAGGAAAGGCTCTGCACAAGCTGCCACAGTGCAACTTCTGAGAGGGCAGCAGACAGGGCTTTTGCAAAGTGCGCGGCCATCACCCTGTTCCCCCTCCTCACAGAGTGCAAGCACATTGCCATGAGATGCCTTAGAGTTCAGAGTTACCAGGCAGCAAAAGCACAGGATCTTCCAAGCGGCCTGCTCACTGATAATAGGATCACAAACAGCAATCAGACCCTACTTGGAGTTCTGTCATGCAGAGAGCCCAGTTCAGTCCAGCACATACTCTGGGTTAGCATCCACAACTCCTGTCCCTTCCTGGGTTTTCCTTTACTCATAATTTAAGAACAAAACACAATCCTTTGTCTGAGCTTCTTCCCAAATTGTCCATTTCTCTTTCCTGTGTTACCACACGCCCCCTCTTTTATACTCCTGGGCTGACGCTAATGAGGCCAGCCTGGTCTGACTGCCAAGATGAGTCAGCAAAACAGTTCTGCATGCAGGGACCAATAACTTGACAACTTGTCAAGGGCTCTGTTCTGTTCTGATTTACTCTTGTATAAGTCCAGTGTAATTTCACTGATTTCACTAAAGTTATTTTGAATGTATACCGGTGTAACAGAACAGAAAGTGTAGCACTTGTTAGTTGGCCTGAATACAACACAAAGATATAAGTCGCCTTCAAAAGAAGGATTGCTTATACGAGATGTTAATATTACTGAGCTTAAATACCTTGATAAGAGGGCAACTCCTGCTTTCCCCAGCAGCTGCCATGCAACAAACTCAGCAGTTCTCTTATCAACTTCATAGGTCTCCTTCTGACTGAGAATAAATACCAGCGGCAGGCCGAGCTGTAGGTGGACAGTTGAAACCTTTTCTGGATCTTCAGCAACTTCAGTCTAGAGAAGAGATACAATTAAATGGTTAAATATCTTCACAGTCTATGCTAGCGATCACACACAGGTGATCAACAAGCTTAGATTTTAGATAATTATGCTAAGTAGGTAATGAGATAACATCTTATTTTATCCTAAATAAACAGGATCCAATCACCCCAAAACCAAAATCTGGATCATTGCCATCTGAATACGCCCATTAGGGTTGATATTTAAATGGAGGAGCATCTTGTGACAATTTAGGCTGAAATGTTCATAGATTTTAAGACCAGAAGAGACCATTGTGATCATCTAGTCCAGCCTCCTGCATAACCCAGGCCATGGGTCTTCCCTCAGTTGATTCCTGCTTCAAGTCCAAGCGGTGTGGTTAAACTGGAGCAGATGTTTTGAGGAAAACATCCAATCCGGATTTTAAAATTGCCACCAGACCCCGACGTCAGTTGCTACAATGGTTAATTACCTTCACTATTAAAAATCTACACCTTATTATCTGAGACCATTGACCCCCAGCACCCTAATCCCTACGATGGCTTAGAAATCCCACCAGGAATGAGCAGTACGACCTGGATTCTTTTTCCCTCCCCCTTTTCATCAAGCTGCTGCAGCTAACACATGACCACTGATCTTCTGCATGACAGACCCAGGCATGACTGATCTTCTGCATGCCTGTGCCAGGACACAGTACGCCCCAATGAAGAGTGTCCCGTGCACCCTGGGGGGTCTCGTTCTGACCCATTTCTCCACGTCTAGCTCAGCGGAGGGGATACTGTCCCGGGCACCTGGCAGCCACAAAGGTTGGGGGCAGTCTCTGCTGGTGTGAACCCATGGAAGTCAATTTACACAACCAGAGCATCCGCCCTGAAATGTCTGCAGGGACACAAAAACCCTCTGCAGAGCTCTGAGGCAGGCTCCGGAGTTCTCTCTCCCCTCTATTCCCCTGGAGCGTACAATACCCTCTACAGTGCTCCCAACCAACATACTAACACCCAGGGATCCAACCCAGGCCCCACTGAAATCAATGGGAGTTTTGCCATTGACTTCAGTGGGGTCAAGATTTCACCCCAGGTCTTGCGCATGGAGTTGCTCTGGGCTCCAGGCAAGCCTCGAGTGCTTTAATGCAGTGCAGATTATGGCGAGTATCATTTCAACCCATACCACAAGGGGTTCTGCCATCAGTTTGAGATACGTGTGGATGTTCAGCGTGGTCAGTGACTGCTCCATGGGAGTCCTCCTGCACGGCTGGGTCAGATCCGGGACCCGCTGACAATGGCAGAAGAAGAGACGAGCAGACAATGCATCAGAATCTTCACAGCTAGGGGAGAAAAACAATACACTGAGACGGGTACATACCCCTGCGTCTCCGCTCAGTGATCCAGCCAGGGCAGCCACTCTTGGCTTCCGGCTCCCCAACCCCGGCCTTTCTGGGTGGAGACAGGAGTTTCTCTCCCTTCTGACTGCACAGTCCCCTGCCTTCCCTGTGTATTTCCCAGCAGAGATGGGCTGCCCAAGCACACCTGCTGGCTTTCCCTTCCGAAACAGGTAAGAGGTATCATTGCCACAGTGACAAGGTCCCGCACAACACTGCCAATCCAAGCTTGCTGTATTCGCAAGGTACAAAGTGTTCTAGAGAAACCACGTTAAAATCAATAAAAGAGCCTACATGCCCGCTAATAAGCTTATCGGGGCTCACCCCAACCCTAATCTGGGCTCCGGCAGGAGCAGTCCTTCAGCTCCCCACCCCAGGGCAATTCCTTGTGGTTTCAAGTTCATCACAGCTTCTGCTCAGAACAAGCACTCAGGCTTACAGGCCCAGTCCTTCCTTTCCCTAAGGAGTGGGGCCCTCCAGGGACCAGCATCCTGTTCCTTTGCCGGATCAGGAAGAAGGCCCTGAGCCAGTTTAATACCAGAATATTTATCCAAAAATCCTCTTTGTCTACTGATCCCTGGAGGATCCACTTTGAACAAATATAGGCACACCTCTCCAGGGGGTGGCTTCACAGGGCTGAGAACCGGAGGAATTACACTAGCCTCCACCTCATACTAGAGAAGGTACATACAACTCCACCATAACACACACACAGTGGCATTGTTAATACACTGGCGTCCAAAGATATTAACCCTAATTCAGTAAGGTTTGCCATAACTCATTAAAGTTTATCTTAATTCCATGAGGTCTGTCCAGGATATGGCAGGACATTGTCAGTCTGTCACAGAGTTCACTACTGTATTTAAGACATCCCAAAATTATTATTATTGTGGGAATTACTGTAGTGCCTACGAGTCCCTGTCACGGAGCAGGACCCCATTGGGCAAGACATTGTACATACACAGAACAAACACAGTCCCTGCCCCAAGGACAGTAAGTGTAAGACAAGAGACAGCTGAAGGAGACAGGAGTACCGGGAAACAATGATGAGACATACCGGTCAACACACAAACCAAGAGCCTAACGGTGCTCAGGGTTTTTGTAGGCGTCATGGCAAAGGAGAGTTTTGAGAAGGGATCTGGAGACTAAGGAGATGGCTTTGTGGATGATGACAGGGAGCTTCTCCCAAGCATGTGGGGCAGCGTGGCAGAAAACACGAAAGAGGTTGTTTGAAAATTTGACAAGCGGAGGAGTGAGGCTGGCATGACGGGCTGAGCAGAGATGAGCATCAACAGCTTGATAGAGAATAAGAGATGAGGGCTGGGGTGGGCGGAGACCATGAAGGGCCCTGAAAGTGAAGACAAGCTTGTGTTTGATGCAACAGAGAAAGGAGAACCAAAATCTGCAACAAGATTTTAAAGTTAGCAAGAACAGACAACCCTCAAATCCAAAGCTAACACCGGTGGGTGTTCAAGACTCTGGAGTCTATTCAACCAATCCTAGCATTAAGATGCAGTATTGTGCCAAAATAGTCTTAAAAACCTATGCATATTACCAAATTACCCTCTACCAGAGTCAAATGGCCTCGCTCCATTGAAGCCAGAGCTGGGTAGCTGGCCCCACTGATTTCAATGGTGGTGGAAGTCAGACTTCAAGGCTATTTCAGTCTTTCTCATAATGAAAAATGCCATGGGATCTACTCTGTTATTGGCTACAGTGGGAATCCTCATGTGAGAAAAGATTACTCACAGGAGTAAGGGTTTATAGGGCTGGGCTCATGGTGTTTACATCTGACAACTTGGGATTCATTATTTACATTTGCAACCCCGTATGAACAATTTCTTGGCCTTTAAACTAAAATCAAGAGTAGCTTCAGTTTAAGAAAGCAGCGTTGCCTAGCAGATAGAGCATTAGACTAGGACTCAGGAGACCTGGGTTCTTTCCTGTCTCTGCCACTGGCCTGCTGGGTGACTTTGGGCAAGTCACTTCCCTACTCTGTTCCTCAGTTTCCCCATCTGTAAAATTGAGCTAATGACATTGACCTCCTTTGCAAAGCACTTTAAGATCTACTGATGACAAGTGCTATAGGACAGCTAAATAAGTATTATTCTATTAATACATGATAGTTCCTGCTCTTGCAGCAGGATGGACTCAGTGGGCTGGATGCTTACTTGATAATAATTGGTGTAGTGCCTCTGAGATCAATGGAGCTACTCTGGTTTACACCAGCTGCGGATCCTGTTCTGATAATATAGGTGAGAGGTTTTTCGCAGGAGTGGGTGGGTGAGATTCTGTAGCCTGCGATGTGCAGGAGGTCAGACTAGATGATCATAATGGTCCCTTCTGACCTTAATATCTATGAATCTATGAATCTGTGTTCTTCTTTAACTACTACAAGCCTACATCAATGTTCTAAAAAAATTGCAACCATGCCACCTAGTGGACAGCCAGATAACTTTATCTTTGATCAAGTTTCCTCATTACCATGTCATGTTTTTCAGTGGTTATCAAACTTTTGTACTGGTGACCCTGTTCACATAACAAACCTCTGAGTGCGACCCCCAGCTTATAAATTAAAAATACCTTTTAAATATTTAACACCATTATAAATGCTGGAGGCAAAGCGGGGTTTAGGTGGAGGCTGACAGCTCGTGACCCCCATTTAATAACCTCGTGACCCCCTGAGGGGTCCCGACCTCCAGTTTGAGAACCCCTGTTTTATGCTATTGCAATGTGCAAAGCAAAAGTTACCCTATTTAGCAAAGTCAATTCTCACTGTAGGATCTGACCAGAATGATTTTCTTTGTGAGATATTAGTTGGTGAAAGGGTAAACATAAATGTCCTTTGGCAGACATGTCTGATAAAAGCTCATAGATTCATAGATTCCAAGGCCAGACTGGGACCACTGGGACTATGTTGTCTGATCTCCTGCACCACACGGGCCAGAGAACTTCCCAAACTAATTCCTAGAATGGAACTTTTAGAAAAAACATCTAATCTTGATTTAAAAATTGTCACTGATGGAAAATCTACTACGGCCCTTGGTAAATTGTTCCAGTAGTTAATTACTCTCACCATTAATATACACCTTATTTCTAGTCTGAATTTGTCTAGCTTCAATTTCCAGCCATTGGATCATCTTAGACCTTTGTCTGCTAGACTAAAGAGCCCATTATGAACATTTCTTCCTTATGTAGGAACTTATAGACTGTAATCAAGTCACCTCTTAACTTTCTCTTTGTTAGCTAATTAGATTCCTTGCTTACAGACAGCCCCCCAACCTGAAGCAAATACTCACCAGCAACCACACACCACACAAAAAACCCTCTAACCCAGGAAACTATCCTTGCAACAAAGCCCGTTGCCGACTGTGTCCACATATCTATTCAGGGGACACCATCATAGGGCCTAATCACATCAGCCACACTGTCAGAGGCTCGTTCACCTGCACATCTACCAATGTGATATATGCCATCATGTGTCAGCAATGCCCCTCTGCCATGTACATTGGCCAAACCGGATAGTCTCTACATAAAAGAATAAATGGACACATATCAGACGTCAAGAATTACAACATTCAAAAACCAGTCGGAGAACACTTCGATCATAGAATCATAGAATATCAGGGTTGGAAGGGACCTCAGGAGGTCATCTAGTCCTACCCCCTGCTCAAAGCAGGACCAATCCCCAACTAAATCATCCCAGCCAGGGCTTTGTCAAGCTTGACCTTAAAAACTTCTAAGGAAGGAGATTCCACCACCTCCCTAGGTAACGCATTCCAGTGTTTCGCCACCCTCCTAGTGAAAAAGTTTTTCCTAATATCCAACCTAAACCTCCGCCACTGCAACTTGAGACCATTACTCCTTGTTCTGTCATCTGGTACCACTGAGAACAGTCTAGAGCCATCCTCTTTGGAACCCCCTTTCAGGTAGTTGAAAGCAGCTATCAAATCCCCACACATTCTTCTCTTCCGCAGACTAAACAATCCCAGTTCCCTCAGCCTCTCCTCATAACTCATGTATTCCAGTCCCCTAATCATTTTTGTTGCCCTCCACTGGACGTTTTCCAATTTTTCCACATCCTTCTTGTAGAGTGGGGCCCAAAACTGGACACAGTACTCCAGATGAGGCCTCACCAAAGTCGAATAGAGAGGAACGATCACGTCCCTCAATCTGCTGGCAATGCCCCTACTTATACATCCCAAAATGCCGTTGGCCTTCTTGGCAAGAAGGACACACTGCTGACTCATATCCAGCTTCTCGTGCACTGTCACCCCTAGGTCCTTTTCTGCAGAACTGCTGCCAAGCCACTCAGTCCCTAGTCTGTAGCGGTGCATTGGATTCTTCTGTCCTAAGTGCAGGACTCTGTACTTGTCCTTGTTGAACCTCATCAGATTTCTTTTGGCCCAATCCTCTAATTTGTCTAGGTCCCTCTGTATCCTATCCCTACCCTCCAGCGTATCTACCTCTCCTCCCACTTTAATGTCATCTGCAAACTTGCTGAGGGTGCAATCCACACCATCCTCCAGATCATTTATGAAGATATTGAACAAAACCGGCCTGAGGACCGACTCTTGGGGCACTCCACTTGATACTGGCTGCCAACTAGACATGGAGCCATTGATCACTACCTGTTGAGCCCGACAATCTAGCCAACTTTCTATCCACCTTATAGTCCATTCATCCAGCCCATACTTCTTTAACTTGCTGGCAAGAATACTGTGGGAGACCATGTCAAAAGCTTTGCTAAAGTCAAGGAACAACACGTCCACTGCTTTCCCCTCATCCACAGAGCCAGTTATCTCGCCATAGAAGGCAATTAGATTAGTCCGTTATGACTTGCCCTGATGAATCCATGCTGACTGTTCCTGATCACTTTCCTCTCCTCTAAGTGCTTCAGAATTGATTCCTTGAGGACCTGCTCCATGATTTTTCCAGGGAGCTCAATGCTGGGTTTATAGGGCTTAATGCTTCACAGAATCGGGTGCACAGATTTGTCTGATCTTCCACCCAAAAACGTCAGCTTCCTCACTTTAGAGCTCTGTCTCTCCCGCCTCCGCCCCAGAATCCTGACCTCTGGTTCCATGTGTGACTGACAGAGCCACCAGCTCTCCCTGCTCTGACTTTTCAGGGGTTGTTTAATGTTGTAAATTTGGGGGTTTAAAACATCCAGGTTGAGAGATGGGCACCTGTCATAAATATAAAGGGAAGGGTAAACCCCTTTGAAATCCCTCCTGGCCAGGGGAAAGCTCCTCTCACCTGTAAAGGGTAAGAAGCTAAAGGTAACCTCGCTGGCACCTGACCAAAATGTCCAATGAGGAGACAAGATACTTTCAAAAGCTGGGAGGAGGGAGAGAAACAAAGGGTCTGTGTGTCTGTCTATATTCTGTCTTTGCCGGGGATAGAGCAGGAATGGAGTCTTAGAACTTTTAGTAAGTGATCTAGCTAGGTACGTGTTAGATTATGATTTCTTTAAATGGCTGAGAAAAGAACTGTGCTTAATAGAATAACTATTTCTGTCTGTGTATCTTTTTTGTAACTTAAGGTTTTGCCTAGAGGGGTTCTCTATGTTTTTGAATCTAATTACCCTGTAAGGTATCTACCATCCTGATTTTACAGGTGGGATTTCTTTATTTCTATTTACTTCTATTTTTATTAAAAGTCTTCTTGTAAGAAAACTGAATGCTTTTTCATTGTTCTCAGATCCAAGGGTTTGGGTCTGTGGTCACCTATGCAAATTGGTGAGGCTTTTTATCCAACATTTCCCAGGAAAGGGGGGTGCAAGTGTTGGGAGGATTGTTCATTGTTCTTAAGATCCAAGGGTCTGGGTCTGTAGTCACCTAGGCAAATTGGGGAGGCTTTTTACCAAATCTTGTCCAGGAAGTGGGGTGCAAGGTTTTGGGAAGTATTTTGGGGGGAAAGACGCGTCCAAACAGCTCTTCCCCAGTAACCACTATTAGTTTGGTGGTGGTAGCGGCCAATCCAAGGACAAAGGGTGGAATATTTTGTACCTTGGGGAAGTTTTGACCTAAGCTGGTAAAGATAAGCTTAGGAGGTTTCTCATGCAGGTCCCCACATCTGTACCCTAGAGTTCAGAGTGGGGGAGGAACCTTGACAGCACCACAGCCAGTTGAGGAGGAAAAGACATAAGTCATGAAGAACAAAGTTTGGCTCTCAGACACCGGGATGGCTGCGGGACTGGCAGTCAGAAAAACCAGCTCTTCATTGGTAAAGTGACTTCATTTGCTAGGGAAATCAGTGAGAAGCTGCCAATGTGCCATCCCAGATGGTTTTTTCAGTCTTCGGAGCACAGCTGCACTTTCAGTTCAACGTAAGGGCAAAAGCTTGTGCTAGCTCTACTGAAACTAACCTGGTTCACCCACGTCTGCTCCTCCGACCGCAAACAACCAGATTCTGCTACATTTACAGCAAAGAGTTCTCTCCTCCGCGAGTAGTCTCGTTCGTTTCAACGGGGCTACTTATGGATCGCTCAAAACCCGGGTCTGCACTTCTTCCCACCGAGGGGGGCTGTGACCAAACCAACCCAACAGCATAAGCAGTTCAGATGAGACCCTTTCTCAGAGGGTTATACCCACCCAATGGTCTTCAACAGCGCCACTTCTGTGGTTAAAACAAACTGGTGAGCAGTCCCATGTACAAAAGCAGCTTCCATTACTGCTCTGTGCTCTAAAAAAAAAAGGAATTGATCCAGTTAATACATTCTTAGTCCACTCCCTCACCCGTGCTAAATATTATGGGCCAGATTTTAGGAATCGGCGTCAAGAAAAATATATGCCTGTCTAATTTGCATGCATTTCAGTAGAGTCTGCACGGTGAAATGGATCGTTTTGTAAAAGAAACCAAGATGTTTGGAGATCTAGGTCAGAAACTCAGTTCTGCACTATCTTATCAAAAAACAGAAAAAGCTCTTGAAGGGATATTAAGATGGAAGGTTGATTTTACTACCTGGTGTTCCAATTGCTGGCACATAGGCAAAAACGACATTTGATCTTCGCTTCAGAGAATTTTCTAGATTCTGAAGCTCCACCAGCGTTGTAATATATTTAACTTCGTTAAAGAGGAGGGCACTGAGAAGACATAAAAATTTCATTCACAGCGTTCTTCCAAAGAAACCAGAGAATTTTCACCCACAATTGCAGGCAAAAACCAGAGCAGGTGCACCTCTGGCTACCTGCCTCAGGAAGCAGCAGATGCAACTGCTCTGACTTGCTCCGTAATTCATTTTGCAGGGCTAAATTACACCAACAAAGAGGCCAACTTCAGCTCAGTTGAAAATAGTCCCCCAGGATGTACTGAGTTCATGTTTACGCAAAGCTTCAGGCAACAAGTGAAAAGACAAAACAAATGATTTCACACTGAATGTTCGTTCTACTTACAACAGGATATTGGCTACAATGGCATTCACATCGAACAGGGCATCTGTGGGGAATTCTCTGAGCAACACGTTACCTCTGGGAAAGAGAACAAACCACCAGGTCATAAATCAAGATAGAGGTTATTCGTCCTTGTAGATGATTTCCTGATTCTTTTTGCAGATTCTAAGCCCAGAAGGGACCATTCTGATCATGCTGTCTGACCTCCAGCATAACAGGCCATATAATTCCTGCACTGAGCTCAATGCCTTTGGCTGAACTAGTGCATTTATCTTTTAGACAGACATCGCCCAAAATGCTCATCTGAGAGGAGACAAGAGAATCCTCTTAAATGGGGCAGGTCAGTTAAAAGGAAAGCGCTTGTGCAAGGGATGTGAACGTCAATGGGAGTTGAGCACCTAACTCACTTAGGTGCTTTTGGTGGTGTCTTCAATGTAACAAGCCTGCAAGAGATCCAGAACGAATCGTGTAATTAGCCCACTTTGCATTAACTTCAGTGCACTTTGGATCAGATCCTTTGTCAGGTATGGAGTCTGATCAGTGGTGAGCAAATGTAACCCATGCTTACTCCGAGTGGTGCTCTGACCCCCTCTAGTGGTGGCTGGGCCACACAGGGTAGAGCTGACTGGGAATTTTTCATCAAAGTGTTTTTCAACTGAAAATCCAATTTTCACAAAATATTTTTGCCAAATATTTTCAGTTTTCCACCATGAAAATCTAAATGAAATATTTCATTTTTGATCAGGTCAATAGCTCCTGAGCCATGCAGTGCCTCGTGGGAGTTGTAATTTGGGTGCCTCATGCCCCCATTCTCCTCCATGGGCCAGGCTCCCTGGCTGGACTACATTTCCCATGATGCATCATGGTCCGCCCTCTGGCTGAACCTCTACAGTGCATCAAGGGAGTCATATAACCATGGGAGATGCAGTCCAGTTTTTTTCCTCAAAATGAAATCCTGCAGTCTAGCAGACTCTCGTCTCTATTCCTTTCAGAGTAACAGCCGTGTTAGTCTGTATTCGCAAAAAGAAAAGGAGTACTTGTGGCACCTTAGAGACTAACCAATTTATTTGAGCATGAGCTTTCGTGAGCTACAGCTCACTTCATCGGATGCATACCGTGGAAACTGCAGCAGACTTTATATATACACAGAGAATATGAAACAATACCTCCTCCCACCCCACTGTCCTGCTGGTAATAGCTTATCTATTATCTATATCTATAAGCTATTAATATCTATAAGCTATTACCAGCAGGACAGTGGGGTGGGAGGAGGTATTGTTTCATATTCTCTGTGTATATATAAAGTCTGCTGCAGTTTCCATGGTATGCATCCGATGAAGTGAGCTGTAGCTCACGAAAGCTCATGCTCAAATAAATTGGTTAGTCTCTAAGGTGCCACAAGTACTCCTTTTCTTTTTGTCTCTATTCCTTGTAACTTCAGCCTCCTGGTTTGTTAAAAAGAAACCAAAAAAGTGTTCGCTTATACACCAGTTCTTGGTGTAAAATGACTGCAGTTGACTTGTATAAATATTTGTTTCCTCCAAAATAACACCAAGCAACTTATCTCCAACAAAGTCAAGAAAATCACACTAAATTCACCCAGGCACCTCTTGTATGGTCTAACCCCTTCCTCCCATTCCCGTCTAGTACTATTACAGGGCAATGATCTATCTAGGGATACCTAATCCTACCTGGGCATGGGAAGGGGGGGGGGGGACCAGATGACCTCTTGAGGTCCCTTCCAGCCTTACATTTCCAAGACTCTATAAGAGTGACTTGTGGTATCCATTCCATCTATTCACCTAAATCACGATTTTAAATTGAATCTTCCATGCTGATTCATCATTGAAAGATAAAGGTTCCTCCCTGTACTTCCTGGATAATCTGAGAGGCTTCTAGGACTGGCAGACAGCTTGTCTACTACTTACGGGCCTGATCTAAAAATGGAGCTCTTTCCACTAGGTTCAAAGGATCATGATGGAAAGAGTCTCCTTCATTGCTACATCCTTCCAGTGCCTGACATGTCAGCTTGCTGACGTGGTTTCCTTAAAACCTTGCAACAGAGAAGCTTTCAAAAAACAATCCACAGTATTTTATTTAGTCACTAGAACGCAATAAAACTCCATTCACCTGAACAGGTATGCTTTCATTAAGGCATTTTCTTTCCCACAATATCTTGATACCTCTTCTTTGAGACAATTAACCTGGGTACGTAAAAAAAGTCGTTATAAATCTCAATGCACAGATACCTACAAATATATAAAGTTGGAAGCATTTTATGGTCCAACTGTATGAAAGAGAACTTTTAAAACCTACTGTATATGCAAAAATGCAATTAAGTGATAATGTGAATGGGATCCAGTGTTACAGATAAGATTTTACAAGCACAGAAGTCAGGAAATTCCAAGTCACGGTTCTCAAACAAACATAATTTAGCTGCCTTCATTCAGTTTCACCCAGTTACTCCTATAGGAAGCCCAAACTATGTTTGGATAGCAATGTACTAATCTGCATAGTAGGATAACATTTATGTCTTAATAGAAAAGGCTGAGGAAAATTTCTTTACGCTTCTCCTCAAACTGAAAGCAAGCATGTGAAATTTCAGCCAAAAGGTCATCTCTGAACCTGCCTCAGGATAAGGATTAAAGGTTCAGCTCGTTGAAAAATGTCCGTCCCCCCCACAGTAAATGTAGATTTTTTTTCCAGCCAAAATTTGAATATTGAAAATATAACCGTTTAGAAATGCTGCCTTAGTGCCTCCCATTGTCCTCTGTGGGCAGGGCTCGGACTACATCGCCCATGATGCACCATGACCTCCCCTACTGGAGATGGGAGGGGATGTATCATGGGAGTCCCTGGCCATGATCCATGCAGGGAGACTCCTGCACTCACATGGAACCCAACTGAGTTTAATGGAGTTCCATGCAAGCCGGGGGTTTGCCAGCAGAGAGCCAACTGCAGGATCGGGCAGATGACAGCAGCACCTTCCCAGCGAGCAGCCTCGCAATGCTAGAGCTGGAGTATAGAGAGAATTATCTGCTGTCAACACATTAATACATCTGTTACGCAGACAGTGACAGCATAACCACCTGTATGGAGAACTGTCCCATGTGCCCATGTGATCAGAATTACGGCCCCACCAGATAACAGACGTCTACATTTCTCAGCTAGGAAAATAAATGACATGTTCATTTACCTTCACCACTGAAATCCCATAGTCCTGGAGCGCTCCAACTGAGTTCTCTAGCTGTTCCAGAAACAGACGGGCACCTGGAGAAACTGAAACACCAATAAGAGCTGTAAAAAGAAAAGGAGGACTTGTGGCACCTTAGAGACTAACCAATTTATTAGAGCATAAGCTTTTGTGAGCTACAGCCCACTTCATCGGGTGCATTCAGTGGAAAATACAGTGGGGAGATTTTATATACACAGAGACCATGAGACAATGGGTGTTACCAGACACACTGTAACAAGAGTGACCAGGAAAGGTGAGCTATTACCAGCAGGCGGGGAGGGGGGGGGGGGAGAGGGACAGATGACACACAACATGGGACCTTTTGTAGTGATAATCAAGGGGGGCCATTTCCAGCACTTTACCAGAACAGTTGGAGGGGAAATAAACATGGGGAAATAGTTTTACTTTGTGTAATGACGCATCCACTCCCAGTCTTTATTCAAGCCTAAGTTAATTGTATCCAGTTTGCAAATTAATTCCAATTCAGCAGTCTCTTTTTCCACTGTATGCATTCGATGAAGTGGGCTGTAGCTCACGAAAGCTTATGCTCTAATAAATTGGTTAGTCTCTAAGGTGCCACAAGTACTCCTGTTCTTTTTGCGGATACAGACTAACACGGCTGCTATTCTGAAACCTGTCATTATGCAAGGCAATAAGAGCTGGTTTCTCTGTATCTCTGGTCCTCTTGATTATCAGGTAGAGTAGCTAGAACAAAACCTAATGTCACCTAATCTCTCTGGACCAGACTGAGTTACCCTTACTCGCACTGAGTAGTATCTTGCTCCACAAGTTTCCCCACTGATTTCAGCAGGGCTACTTGTGGCATAAGCTACTCGTCAACACAGATACAGGTATGACAAGCTGGCCTTATTTGCCTCAGTTTCCCATTTTACAGAGAGGGGCAGTGTTACTTCCTCTTCCCCCAAGGAGGCACTTTTGGAGAGAAATACAACCCCCTTTCAGCAAGCTAGTCCACAAGAGGAGTTCCTTATGCGCACACAGAGCGCCGATGAAGGCAACAGGGTCTGACAAAGACACAGGGATCTTCCCAGGCCGCTCAACCTACAGGTTGGATGCCTCCAACAGGAACAACAATAGGAAAGTGCTCCCCTCCTCACATTTCTGTGATCACCGGGAATATGCAGAGGGTTTGGTAAATTCCTGCTCTAAGAGGTGTTCTGTCAAACTATTTAGGGTTTCAACTTTTCCAAAAACTGTGACCATTTGATTTGCGCCATTGCCAAAGAGGCCTTTTCCACAGCTACAATGTTATTCCCTCTCACAAGCACGTGAAACATTCCCCTCGAGTTGCTTATTTCTCCTGCGAAGCCAGGATAATGAGAACCCCCACGCATTTAAAATACATACCGTCTCGACTAAAATAAACTAGGGATGCTCTTCCCGGCTGCAAGCTACCGAAATACTCCTGGGGGCTCAGCTCTTGCAGTGTATTTGCATTTCTTGCCGCAGACATGTAACAAGTACATAACAGGAGGAGAGAGCAGCAAGAAAGCCTTCCGTTCATTTGGGGGAGCATGATTTCCTCAGTTAAAGTCACTGCAGAAGCCACGTCTGGAAAAAAAAAAGTGCTTGCTGTTTACATAGATTTCCAGATCTGTGACTGTAATTTACAAATGTGATGAGGCCAATAAACACCAACGATTAAAATGCGAGTTTATCTAACTGTAAAAATAGCAGATGGATTCAGTTACAGCAAAGCTAATGCTGATTACAATTGCAGGCCGTTCCTGTTTCTTATTAATTACATTTGCAACTGCAAAACCCTCTGTGGTTGTGGTTTGGGGCTGGGGATTTTTGTTTAGTTGGTTTGGTTTGGTTTTTTTTGAGATGGTTAGAGAAAGTCAAGTGTCCAGCAATGAAAACAGTGCCCACCTACACACAGATATTTCAGATCACAACTCCCCCCTCCCCAGGTTCTTGTTAGTAACTGATTAGGATCAAACTAGCTTCACACACTCTACTGATCATGACTTGCATGAACAAAGAGCTTCCCAAAAGGCCTGATTAGCCGTTTCTTTACTCCAGTTTTACACCAGTTCCATTAGAGTGAAATCACGGTAACACAAGGGCCAGCCAAGCCTTTTTACTGGGCACAAATTGTTTAAGAAGAGAACAGACACGTGAGATATTTATTGCATTTCCCCCTCATCCACGCACAGAAGGTGAAAGTCACACCCTCTTCTCCTTGAGGCAAAGCTGGAGTGGGGACCTCTATGAAACTTTGGGAGCTGGATCTAGCCTCCAACTTTTTTGCGCAGGATGTAGGCCAGCCCTGCAGTTGCAATTGCCATCCCTGGACCGGCACAGGGGCCAGAGCTCCTGCAGCAGGATCTGTGTAACCAGTAGCGGCTCCCCCTCTCCGCCCCGCCATGCTGCTTGCTGAGGAGATACAGATACAGAACCCCCTGAATCTTAATGGGTTGCTCTCTCCATGGCTGCCCCCCCCCACACACACACACTAGCAACGCTGCAACTTGGCTCTGTTGGGGAGCCTCCCACAGACCCTTGGCCTTTGGGTGAGCTCGACCCAGCAAAAATCATGCATCCAGTTCATCAAACCTCCCAAAGCTACGGAGTGCTGTTCTTCTATCCAGAACCAACACAAATAATAAGGAATCTTTGCAAGAACATTGCAGGATTAGAAAATGTCACCCATATTTGATTCTCCTGTGTAATAGATTCATAGATATTAAGGTCAGAAGGGACCATTATGATCATTTAGTTTGAATTCCTGCACAATGCAGGCCACAGAATCTCACCCATCCACTCCTGCAATAAACCTCTCACCTATGTCTGGGCTATTGAAGTCCTCAAAACATGGTTTAAAGACGTCAAGGTGCAGAGAATCCTCCAGCAAGTGACCCGTGCCCCATGCTACAGAGGAAGGTGAAAAACCCCCAGGGCCTCTTCCAATCTGCCCTGGAGGAAAATTCCTTCCCGACCCCAAATATAGCAATCAGCTGAACCCTGAGCATGTGGGCAAGATTCACCAGCCAGATACCCAGGAAAGAATTCTCTGTAGTAACTCAGATTCCACCCCATCTAACATCCCATCACAGGCCATTGGGCCTATTTACTATGAATAGTTAAAGATCAATTAATTGCCAAAATCATGTTATCCCATCATACCATCTCCTCCATAAACTTATCGAGTTTAATCTTGAAGCCAGATAGGTCTTTTGCCCCCACTGCTTCCCTTGGAAGGCTATTCCAGAACTTCACTCCTCTGATGGTTAGAAACCTTCATCTAATTTCAAGTCTAAACTTCCCGATGGCCAGTTTATATCCATTTGTTCTTGTGTCCACATTGGTACTGAGCTTAAATAATTCCTCTCCCTATCCGGTATTTATCCCTCTGATATATTTAGAGAGAGCAATCATATCTCCCCTCAACCTTCTTTTGGTTAGGCTAAACAAGCCAAGCTCCTTGAGTCTCCTTTCATAAGACAGGTTTTCCATTCCTCGGATCATCCTAGTAGCCCTTCTCTGTACCTGTTCCAGTTTGAATTCATCCTTCTTAAACATGGGAGACCAGAACTGCACACAGTATTCCAGGTGAGGTCTCACCAGTGCCTTGTATAACGGTACTAAAACCTCCTTATCCCTACTGGAAATACCTCACCTGATGCATCCCAAGACCACATTAGCTTTTTTCACTGGCCACATCACATTGGTGGCTCATAGTCATCCTGTGGTCAACCAATACTCCAAGGTCCTTCTCCTCCTCCGTTACTTCTAATTGATGCGTCCCCAGCTTATAACTAAAATTCTTGTTATTAATCCCTAAATGCATGACCTTGCACTTCTCACTATTAAATTTCATTCTATTACTATTACTCCAGTTTACAAGGTCATCCAGATCCTCCTGTAGGATATCCCGGTCTCTCTCTAAATTGGCAATACCTCCCAGCTTTGTATCATCCGCAAACTTTATTAGCACACTCCCACCTTTTGTGCCGAGGTCAGTAATAAAAAGATTAAATAAGATTGGTCCCAAAACCGATCCCTGAGGAACTCCACTGGTAACCTCTCTCCAGTCTGACAGTTCACCTTTCAGTATGATCCCCTGTAGTCTCCCTTTTAACCAATTCCTTATCCACCTTTCAATTTTCATATTGATCCCCATCTTTTCCAATTTAACTAACAATTCCCCATGTGGCACCGTATCAAACGCCTTACTGAAATTTAGGTAAATTAGATCCACTGCGTTTCTTTTGTCTAATAAATCTGTTACTTTCTCAAAGAAGGAGATCAGGTTGGTTTGGCACGATCTACCTTTTGTAAAACCATGTTGTATTTTGTCCTAGGGTTTGTAATGTTTGTTTGCAATATACGATTCAGCCACTAGATGTCACTGCTCGCTGTATAGCGTTCCAAACTAGGTGTGGTCCCCTGGCAAACAAGGGAGACAAAGCTGGGATTCAAGCTGCATAGAAGCCCCTTTGTTTTGCACTATAGCTGCAGATGATTTCTTTACTCAACACCTCCTGTTTAGGACAGACCATGAGACCGTATATTGTGACATCTGTGCTCCCAGCTATTAGGGCTGCCAATTTTGGTTGGACGCATTTCTGGAGGTTTCATCACATGACATAATCTTTAATTAAAGATTAATCTTTGAATCCTGGAGACTCCAGAACAATCCTGGAAGGCTGGCAACCCCAACAAACTGAGGCTGTTATAGCAGTAGTGCTCAAAAACAAACAAAAAATCCAGCCACCCTCCAACAGCAGAGATAGTTAACAAAGAGACAGAGCCACCTAATCTTCAGGTTCTCGCTCTGTGTTCAAGTACTCTGCCTTTCCTGCTCTCTGCATGGAAAACAGGACACTTTAAAAAACACGTACACACAAATTCCACTTTATAGTAAGTAGGCTTCGAAGGATTAGATTTTTACTGGTAAACGTCAATAAACATTGATTGCACCGCACACACACTAACCCATGAAAATATATTTCCTTCTATAATAATCTAAATGTACAGGTAGGTGAAGTAAGCAAAATGCTGTTTGAGAACTTAAGAGTCAAAACTGAGTGATTTAGACTTTTGAATTAGGCTGGTTACAAAGAGACTAGCAAATGAACAGTAAAAACAGGTATGATTTGTTGAATTAAGTATATTTCCTTTGTATAGTTTGATACGTGATATTGACAATTTATTTACATGGTTTATAAAGCCTTAACTGTTGAATCTCAATGTCTAAATAATTGTCTGACCCCTCCCCAGCATTTCATGCAACTGTAAATGTAAACTGTAAATGTAAATTGTAAATGAAAATGTAAATTGATACAAAGAGAAAAAATGCTTAAAAATATGTTGATATTATCCATCAAAATTATAAAAATCTAATTCGACCAAGCTGAATAATAAGCAACACCATCAGTACATGCCATTGTATCTGTCTGCTCCTTGTTGAGTGATGCTTAACATCCAGGGGCATAAGAAGTACTCCTGGGAGAATTCTGCACCAAAAAAATTAAAATTCTGTACCAAAAAATGAGAAATTCTGTGCACAATATTTTAAAATTCTGCATATTTTATTTGTCAAAACAACACTATATAATCATGCCAGTTTCAATTATTTTGGTAATTTATTTCAAAATACCTGTCAGTAAGTATGTCTGTAACAGTACAGACAAAAAGAAAAGGAGTACTTGTGGCGCCTTAGAAACTAATCAATTTATTTGAGCATAAGCTTTCGTGAGCTGCCACAAGTCCTCCTTTTCTTTTTGCGGATACAGACTAACACGGCTGCTACTCTGAAACCTGTCATAGTACAGACAAAAAAATTCCTCCAGAAGTAGAGAGTTAAAAAAACCCCTATGACAACCAGTTCCTGTTTCTCTGCCCCCTCCGCCCCAGAGACCTGCCATGGACGCCCAAGGATCCAGAGGGAGAAACAGCCTGATGCTGGGTCCCGGGCTCATGGGGAGTTCCCTGCACACCCCCTCTTTCCTTCAGGGCCTGCGGGGAACTGCTGCTGCCAGGAACCCTCCAGCTCCTTCCCTCTCCCGCCCCCGGCAGTGTCTTCTATTTGTGAGCTGGGCTCTGCTGGGTCCAGCGGCCCCTAGTGGCAGTCAGCAGCTCTGCAGCCCATTTCTGAAGGGGGGAAAAGGAAAGTCTGCACACACAACATTAATTTCTGCACAAATTCTGCATTACGCAGTGGTGCAGAATTCCCACAGGAGTAAAAAAGAATGCACTCTCCACCAGCTACTTAAACTTGTCTCCTAAAAACAGACATTGTTTTTAATACTGCCTGAAAAACACAGGCTGCAGTTTTAAACACGTTCCAACATTTTTTTCAAATTAGTATAATTCTTTATTATTATTATTTCTGTCACTGTGGTGCCTAGAGAAGCAGCTAGGAAGCACACAGAATCTGACCCAAAACTCACTGCAATCAACAGAAGGATTTCTACTGGCCTCCATGGGCTTTGAATCAGGCCCTAATAAAGTACAGAGACGACGGCTCTGGAAACCCCTTAGACAGAGCAGAAGAATTTCGTTCTCATTTGAGAGGCTCTGATGATCTCCTCCCTGTTTGTAAAGTAACTGGAGTTAACTTTGCTCTGCTGTCTTGTTTGTTCCCCTGCATCAGGGACGGCTTGTTGATCAGGAAGAGCATTTGCAAGGCAGCATCATTGTTTGGTCGCGGGGAAAAGAGAGCAGCGTCCTTCTCTCCGTGGTTTGGAGGAAGCAGAGTGTGACAGATCAGGGGCTCCACCAGCCAGGGCACTATGGGAGCCGCCGAGGGGAGACATTACATGCTTAAAGTTTTATACCTAGAAGATTTTAAGCGTTTGACATTTTTAAGATGTTTACAAGACCCCACCCTCTCTCAACCCCCCAGTGCTCTTTCCCTGTTATGTCCAGTCCCATCGTCCCACGCACTGCTTGGCCACGTCTACTGTGATCCTGCACACCCCACCCTGGGACCCTACCCACCCTCAGCAATGACCAGCCTTTCCAGGCCTTCCTGTGGCCTGGCAAGATCTCCCAGGCACCTGTTCTCTGCCACTCCTCATGCTCCCCAGTAGCTGCCATCTCGTTCAGGCCCTTGGCCTTCTTCCAAGCATCCCTCCATCTCCCCCATTATTCTTCCCTCCTCTCTATCTGCTCCTCCAGCTGTCTGCTTGATCCCACCCACATCTCTTCTAGTCCCTACCTGCACACATCTGTCCCGCACACACACACACATTCCCTCTATGGCTCCCCAGACCCTTTCAATCCATTACATGTCCCCCATGCCCACTCTCATTTGCCCACATTTCACACTCTCTACCCCCTTTCAATTTGTTGGTAACCGGACCCCAAGACCCCGCCCCCATCACTTACTCCTCTCCGCCCCATCCCTGTCACTCCCTGGATTGTCTCCACCTCCCTCTCCCACCCCCACCCCCCAACTGGGCTCCCTCTGCTTTGGGGCTGGGACGGGAGCTACTGCAGCCTGACAAGGAGCCTGCTTGCAGTGAGGAGGCAGCCCCGGCTGAGCAGGGACTGGTGTGGGTTAATAATCTGGCTAACCGGACTTTTGGGTCCGGTCAGTATACCTGACTGGACACTTCAAGGTTCCCTTTTCGACCGGACTTTCCAGTCGAAAACTGGGCACCTGGCAACCCTATGCCCACGGGGTCTCCTGCATCACCCTCCATGGCCCACCAGTGTCCTGCATCCCCCTCCACTTGCCCCTTCTGCAGAGCCCCACAGTCCAAGATCAGAGAGCCCAACTCCATGCTAATGCTTGATGTGCCCCTTACCTCCAGTCGACCGCCCTTCCAATCCTCTCCCTCTCCCCCCATGCCCTCCTTCTGGATTCCTGCCCCCTGCTTACCTTCCCCCTGTCCATGACCCCCAGTGCTGGCTCACTCCAACAGTGACTGCAGCAAAGGCTGGAGTCAGCAGAAGGTCAGTTTAAATTATAAATGTTTACGTTATTTCTACTGTAAATAGTGCTCTCTGTGCATGTCAAACCAGCTCTTTATAACTTGGGAATTCCGCAAATACCACCCCACCCCAAAATCAACTCAAAGGCACCTCTCCCCCAGCAAGGCCAATAAAACAAACAGGGAGGCTGGACACCAAACCCTTCTGGAGACAGGATGAGTTCGCCTCCCTCCACCATCCCCCCTCAAAAAAGAAAGAATTAGGGCATTTTCCAGTGACAGAGACACTTTTGAGACACCGTAACTTTCAAATCTGTCTCTGAATTTCACCAAACTTCCCAAAAATTCCCATCCCAGGGATGAGATGTGGCAGGTGGAATGTTGGGGGGCTCTGTGTCTTTTTTGAGAAAGCTGGGACGTGGAGGGGAGTATTTTAAAAAGTCAGATTTAAAGGGGGGAAATCTAAGTTCGGCTTTACCTGTGGGTCAATTCCTGCTGCTTCGTAATGAAGTATCCTGAAAGGAGGCCTAGAAGTAAATAAGAGTGGGAATGAATAGGGAAACGGACACCAGGCCTTATTCTCCACAGTCTTGCACCTTGCGTCATCATTTACACCTTTGCAAGACGATTGTATTATTATTATTGAATTCCTGCAGCTCCCAGGAGCCCCAGTCATGGACCAGAACGCCATTGTGCTAGGAACAAACAATTATATCGTGTTCCTTTGTAATCTGGTAGCATTTCACATCCACTCAGCGGTAGTATTAATCATCAATCAGGGTGCAAGGCACTGGAGAATCAACCCACACGGCCAAAGCAAGAGCTAGCTAGAGTCCAAGCCTTGTCCACATTCAGCAAGAGCCCTAACTCAGCCATTAGTGCCTGGTAGTGGCACAAGTGGGGATTCACCCACGAAAGCTCATGCTCCAATACATCTGTTAGTCTATAAGGTGCCACAAGACTCTTTGCCGCTTTTAATTAACACAAAAGAAAAGGAGGACTAGTGGCACCTTAGAGACTAACCCATTTATTTGAGCATAAGCTTTCATGAGCTACAGCTCACTTCATTGGATGCATTCGAAAGCTTATGCTCAAACAAATGGGTTAGTCTCTAAGGTGCCACTAGTCCTCCTTTTCTTTTTGCGAATACAGACTAACACGGCTGCTACTCTGAAACCCTCAATTAACACACTTTGCCTTTATGCGGTGTAATTGTAGCCCTGTCGGGGGCAGGATATTACGGAGACAAGGTGGGTGAGGTCATATCTTTTATTGGACCAACTTCAGCTGGTGAGAGAGAGACCAGCTTTCCAGCCACACAGAGCTCTTTGTCGGGTCTGGGAAAGGAATTCCCAGCCTCAGAGCAGAATGCAAGGTGGAACAGATTGTTTAGGGTAAGTCGTTAGCACATATTGTCAGGGACCATTCAGCATAGCGTGGCCCGTTAACACCTCTTCAGTCATAGGACAAAAGGGGGTCAGTGGGTTACAGACGGCTGTAACAAGCCATAAATCCAGTGTTCTAGAACAAAAGTTCGTCCAAGAAAAGATGTAATAATTTTATTAATGTAAGCAGTGTCAGGATGAGCTCCACCCTGACATCTGGTGGTGAGGTGTGGCAAGTTGTGGAAAAGAACTTCAGGGGACGATCTCATTTGCATAGTAGCTCACGAAAGCTCATGCTCAAATAAATTGGTTAGTCTCTAAGGTGCCACAAGTACTCCTTTTCTTTTTGCGAATACAGACTAACACGGCTGTTCCTCTGAAACCTCCCTAGAATGAGGCCATAGCTGCCCAAATGGTCACTTTGGCTGCTGTGGGATCCTCAGTGTTTCTGTTATTGGGGCAGGAAGAATAAATTGTTATTACCCTGATTATGGGAACTGTGCTTGGAACTGTACTGGGCCTTTTGTTATGATGGAGGGACTCACCATCAACTAAGTAGCACTCGCTAGGCAAGGGTCATGGGTTCCAAAACTCTGTGAATTGAGAGAGGCTGGGGACAAGTATTAATACTTGGTGGCATGGGCCCCTTAGTGAGGGTCTTACATGCTAATTGCACTTCCTCCTCTCTCCACTGTAGAATATCAGAGCTAATTTTGATTTCATTAGAAATCTAGTTACAGGCTGCTGAGCTCACTTTGGGCTAATAGTGCACCAGCACTGAGGCTCCCCTACTATAAGCTGAATTCACCAAAGAGCTAAACTGACTAAGAGCTGAAATCATTGAGCGTTGTGTTAAGTAGTGGGGGAGCCTGAAGATATATTGTGGAGCAGTTTGTGGGACGGCTGGAGTGCCTTGTGGACAGGCTGGTAGAGCAGTTCATAGGACAGTGGGAGCAGCTGGTGGGATGCAGAGCGGTTCGTGGAACGGCTGGACGGCGGGAGCTGCATGTGGGCCGCAGAGCGGAGCGGAGCGAAGCAGTTTGTGGGGTGGCTGGCGGAGCAGAGCGAAGGCCTATGGAGCTGTGGGGCGGTCAGCTTCAGATCATGTAAGGTGCCTCTTACCTCTGCCCCCATCTCCACCCAGGTTGGGAGGTAAAGCTCTGTAGATAAACTTTCGAACTCTGGGGCTGCCCTGACCATGGACAGAGACTTTTGGGTCATTGGACTTTTGGGACTTTGGGTGATTTGGGGTTGCTGGACTCAAAAACCAAAGGGAAAGGGGCATGCCCCAATTTGCTTGGAGTGGGTTTTTTGCTCATGGGTTGTGTTATGAATCCTGTTGGTGGTGTTTCCCCAACATAATGGCACATTGTTTCTCTCTGTTATTAAAAGGCTTTTTGCTACACTCAGACTATGTGTTTGCGAGAGGGGAAGTACTGCCTTTTGGAGGCGCCCAGCGGGGGTGGTATATATTTGTCCCAGGTCACTGGGTGGGGGCTCGAGCCGGTTTGCATTGTGCTATTGCAATGGACCCCCTAGATATTGAACCCGGCCCTTGTTGCTGCCAACTCTGATGGGCAGAAGGGTTACATTAAGATAATGTTGAAATAAAAAGGAAACGGTACAGAGTTCAACCATAAAAGTTTCTGGTTATCAGGGAATAAGGTACAGATTATCAAGGGGTGCGAAATTCGGTTAGGAGCTGGTGGCGTAAGGAATACATAATCTGCAATCTCCCTGATTGGGGGTAAAAGTTTAACCGGTCAAAGCACAGACATTGAGATATGGGGGTATGTTGTCCATATGGTGGCTATGTTCAGGTGTGGAGTATAATGAGCGGATACAATGATGGGGATGGATCTACCCTCATTTGGTGGGATTTAATGTTCATTGAGTTTATGGTTCCAGTTCATACGGTCCAATGGAAAAAGCCTCTCAGTCCCTTTCCCATAGTGGATGCACGATGTCGTTATTACTTCGCCCACCTTGTCTCTATAGTTTGCCTTTGTCCAGCCTGAGGGGTCAGCACCAGTTTGGCTGCACAGATAGATGAGTCCGAGCTATTCCCAAATGGAGCCAGAGCCTTCAGTGACAGGCACTTTCGACATGCAGGTAGATAAACTGGACAGCCAGATACAAATGGAGAGTGGAGAAATGCTTAGATGTGGGGCACTTCTAACGTTGTAGTTAGGTAAATAAGAACTGGACTTTGTACAGAAGATGTAAGAGAGGGAGCCGGGTTACTTCTGTAAAGTTGCTGGAATCAGTTCTCCCCCCATTTACATGGGTGCAAATCTGACCGTGACAAAGACTGAACAGGCCCTGAGATGCGGCAGGAGTGGTTTCCTGTAAATGTGAGCAGAGAGCAGTCACCCACAGCAAGGCAAGATAAGAGCAAACACGGGAAGCCCCTGCGTATGACAGCACTCGGATATTGCCCTGGCCGGGGATGGGCTTTGGATGGGGGATTTTACCTGAAGGATAATCTGGGACTTGCATCAGGGGAACATGGTGCAGCAAGAGTGGAAGAGCTGGTATAGAAAGGGCTCAAGTTCTTATATCGCCATGTCAGCCCCAGCTCGGCCTCCTCCCCAAAAGCTCCCCCCCCGCACTCCACCCCCACTGTGCCCAAGGCCCCACTTGGCCTCTTCCCCAGAGGGCCCCCCCACGCCTGCTGCTTGCACCTCTCCATTCCCTCCCCCCAAACCCCTCCAGCTGCCGCTTGTGCCTCTCCGCCCCGTCCCCTGAGCTGGAAAGGGGCGAGCGGCAGGCAGGGGGGCCTCAGGGAAACAGGCGGAGCGGGGGACAGACGCGGTGCAGCATGGGCAGAACCCCAGGGGAAGAAGCCAAGGGGAGCAGGGCCTCAGAGCAGAGCAGGGGTGGAGCATGGGCGGGGCCCCGGTCCGCATGCCTGTGGCCCCCCCACTTCTCGGGAGCTTCCGCCGCGCTCCAAAGATGGCAGGGGGAGGGAGGGAGAAACTGATACTGGGAGTTGAGTCGGGGGGAGACTGGGCCTGGGTAAGGATGGGAGTGGGAGCCAAATGGGAGCCAGAGACAAGCTGGGCAAGAAGACTAGGACTGGGAACCAGGGAGGGAAATGGAGGGTGATGGCTGGGAGCCATGGGTGGGCAGGGAGACTGAGATAAGATGAGGAGCTGGGGGGAGACTGGAACCAGTGGGAAGGAGGGAGAAGGGAGACAGGTCTGAGGAGGAGCTGGGATGTGGGAGGAGAATTGGGACTGGCAGGGCAAAGGGACTGGGACAAAGAGCTGAGGGGGGCACTGAGATTGGATGAGTCCAGAGAGAAAGGCTGGGACTGAGAACCAGCGGGGTGTAAAATGTGTGTGGGCAGGTGTGATGGGGCATCTGCCCCACACTGGCCCATAAGGGGTTAATAGAGACCTAGGGAGATTGCGCAGCAGGCGGCCAATCGGAGAGAGGCTGTGAGGAGCAGCCTGTCAGGGCTGGGCTGGCCCATATAAGAAGGGCTGCAGACGAGAGAGCAGCTTCAGTCACTCCCTGGAGCTTGAGGGGGGAGAACTGGCTCCCTTGCAGGCTGAAGGCAGAAAGCACCCTGGACCGACCAGTGCTGCAGGCAGAGACCCAGGGAGCTAAAGGCAGCTCCTGGCAGGCTGCAGGGATCTGCAGGCTGAGGCCACGGGGAAGTGGCCCAGGGAAATCTACTGAGGAGTCAGAGGGGATGCAGCAAGTGATGGCTATCTACAGGGTCTGTGGGCCGGGGCCTGGAGTACTGGGGTGCCGTGGAGGAAGTGGCCAAACATTGGGCTGCAGTTGCCACTTGGGGAAGTGGCTGGACAGTGGACTGCAGTTCCCCTGGAAGGGGGGAGCACTGAGTGTGGCAGAGCTGAAGGGCTGTGTCCTGGAGAGGGCATCGTGGTCCTGGGAATGACACAGGTCCAGGAGCAGAAGTGGCGGCGGTGAGACCTCACCAGAAGAAGGCACACTGGCTAGCAGAGCTAACCCCCAGGACAAGCCAGTAGGAGACACTGCAGTGGTGAGTCGCAAACTGTCAGAGGAGGACAACTGGGTGCTAGGATGGGGACAGAGACAAATCAGGGTGTTGAACTGGGACTGGTTGGGCAAGGAGAGCGGGGACAAGAGGGCAGGAGGACTGGGAATGG